GAAGAAGTCTAGCCAATCACTCACAACAGCAAAGACCTTAGGAACAGATTTAATTAGCATTCACTATATATGTATAATTTTATGTATAATTTAAAAAAATACTAACAGTTACTTGAGTCAATTTTTTTACATAAAATATAACAATATTATGACAGCCGTTAGATAGCATTCGTTATTTTTATACATATTCTTGAATATGCTATGTAAAATATTATGACAGCTGAATTAGCTTTGATAACTTGACATACAGTCTTTTACATACCTTATAAAAACATCATGACAGTTAGCTAACGTTAGCTATGTTCATATATGTTCTTTTAATTACTATATAAAAATATTACACAGTTAGCAGAGGTAGCATTAGCTATTTTCATATATATTCTTTTATATACTATATCAGGATGACAGCAGAATTAGCCAGCACTCATTATTTTTCATAAATACACAAATATAAATAATATAAATTATCATGACAGTTAGCATATATGCTATTTTCACATATATTCTTTTATATGGTATACTAAGATGACAGCAGAATGAGCTAGCATTAGCTATTTTATTACATATTATATAAAAGTATTGACAGGTAACATAGCCAGCTTTAGCCGTTGCATAAATATTTGTTTATATATTATATAAAGTATTATGACAGCAGAGTTAGCTAGCATTAGCTATTTTCTTACATATTATAGAGAAATATTGACAGTTAACACAGTAAACACAGTTAACGCAGTTAACACAGTTAACACAGTAAACACAGTAAACACAGTTAACACAGTAAACACAGCTAGCATTACTTTCAAACATAAGTGTGGAATAAATTCACAGTTTCAAATCTGCACTTTCCACACAGTTTCTCCACTGCTTTCAATGAGCTACGTGTCAGAAATCATTTATATAAAATTACAGCATCGTTTTTACTGCTGTCAGCAATTACTGTGGTGTTTAAAGCTTAAGATACGACAGCTGACTACTGTGTCCATTCTGGAAGCAGAACAGCATCGTCAGCAGAGCAGCGCCCCCCTGGGGCAGTGGAGGTCAAACGCCTTGCCCAAAGGCACAACCAAGTAAGGAGCCGGTCCTGGGATTTGAACCCATGGCCTTCTGGTTCCAGCTCATTTTTTAGACTACAAAACACTTAAATACACACTGTTTACCCCAAAAGCAGGCAAGCACATCACTGCCACTGAACCATGGAGACACCACTCCATCTGTACACATTCTCAGTGATGCACTGAACTCTAATCCCCACATATGCTCAAACAGAAGCACATGTGGCACTGAGAGATGACTTCCTCACTCCTTCACACCCAGCTCATCTCCTCAGCTCAAGATCTGCATATGACACAGGCTAATTACTTCCCCTAATTAAGCAATTAGAATGAATTAGAGAGCAAACACAAATTCAAAGAGATTTCTGGATCATTGCTGCTCGGTTTAAACAGCTAATTAGTCTCTACAACACCCCCAACACCCCCAGCACCCCCAACACCTCCTCCCTCCTTTTCCAGACTGCCTCACAGATATAAAGCAGCTACTTCAGAGAGAGAGGATGTTTGTTTTCAGTCTCCAGTTGACAATACGGCCTGCAGAAACAGAGCTATGGCTACAAAATAAGCCTACTGCCTTTAAAGGGCGGCGCTGAGCGACGTTTGTTTGTTTGATGTTTGTTAATGACACCTTTAGAGAGCGGCACTGAGCGACATTTGTTTGTTTGATGTTTGTTAATGACGACTTTAGAGGGCGGCGCTGAGCGGCGTTTGTTTGTTTGATGTTTGTTAATCACGCCTTTAGAGGGCGGCGCTGAGCGACGTTTGTTTGTTTGATGTTTGTTAATCACGCCTTCAGAGGGCGGCACTGAGTGTTGTTTGTTAATTTGGTGTTTGTTAATGACGCTTTAGAGGGCGGCGCTGAGCGACGTTTATTTGTTTGATGTTCGTTAATGACGCCTTTAGAGGGCGGCGCTGAGCGACGTTTGTTTATTGATGGTTGTTATTGACGCCTTTAGAGGGCGGCGCTGAGCGACGTTTGTTTGTTTATTTGATGTTTGTTATTGATGCCTTTAGAGGGCGACGCTGAGCGACGTTTGTTTATTTGATATTTGTTAACGACGCCTTTAGAGGGCGGCGAGACGTTCGTTTATTTGATGGTTGTTGATGATGCCTTTAGAGGGCGGTGCTGAGCGACGGTTGTTTAGTCGATGTTCATTAATGACGCCTTTAGAGGGCGGCGCTGAGCGACGTTTGTTTGTTTGATGTTTGTTAATGACGCCTTTAGAGGGTGGCGCTGAGTGACGTTTGTTTGTTTGATGTTTGTTAATGACGCCTTTAGAGGGTGGCGCTGAGCGACGTTTGTTTATTTGATGGTCGTTGATGACGCCTTTAGAGGGCGGCGTTGAGCGACGTTTGTTTATTTGGTGTTTGTTAATGACGCCTTTAGAGGGCGGCGTTGAGCGACGGTTGTTTATTTGATGTTCATTAATGACGCCTTTAGAGGGCGGCGCTGAGCGACGTTTGTTTATTTGATGTTTGTTAATGACGCCTTTAGAGGGCGGCGCTGAGCGACGTTTGTTTGTTTATTTGATGTTTGTTATTGATGCCTTTAGAGGGCGACGCTGAGCGACGTTTGTTTGTTTGATGTTTGTTAATGACGCCTTTAGAGGGTGGCGCTGAGCGACGGTTGTTTATTTGATGTTCATTAATGACACCTTTAGAGGGCGGCGATGAGCGACGTTTGTTTATTTGATGGTCGTTGATGACACCTTTAGAGGGCAGCGTTGAGCGACGGTTGTTTATTTGATGTTCATTAATGACGCCTTTAGAGGGCGGCGCTGAGCGACGTTTGTTTATTTGATGGTCGTTGATGACGCCTTTAGAGGGCGGCGTTGAGCGACGGTTGTTTATTTGATGTTCATTAATGACGCCTTTAGAGGGCGGCGATGAGCGACGTTTGTTTATTTGATGGTCGTTGATGACGCCTTTAGAGGGCGGCGCTGAGCGACGTTTGTTTATTTGATGTTCATTAATGACACCTTTAGAGGGCAGTGCTGAGCGACGTTTGTTTATTTGATGTTCATTAATGACACCTTTAGAGGGCAGTGCTGAGCGACGTTTGTTTATTTGATGGTCGTTGATGACACCTTTAGAGGGCGGCAGTGAGCGACGTTTGTTTATTTGATGTTCATTAATGACACCTTTAGAGGGCAGTGCTGAGCGACGTTTGTTTATTTGATGGTTGTTAATGACGCCTTTAGAGGGCGGCGCTGAGCGACGTTTGTTTATTTGATGTTCATTAATGACACCTTTAGAGGGCAGTGCTGAGCAACGTTTGTTTATTTGATGTTCATTAATGACGCCTTTAGAGGGCGGCAGCTGAGCGACGTTTGTTTATTTGAGCGTCAGTTGTGAATTCTTTCCTCTTCCTGGTGAGGAATAGTCACTAAGCACTATTACATCACCACTAGGTGGACCTGAATGGACACTAGCATTGGTATTAGCATTGATAGTGACCCAGACATGAGTCCCAGACATGCAACACAACTCTCAGCGATTCAACACAACAATTTAATCCATTTAAACTGTCAACATTTCAGCCCTTTACCAGTCGTGACCTTTGCCTCCAGGCACTGAAAAACAGAAGTCCAAACTGAGCATCTAAAAGTGCCATCTGAAGCGGTCAGCCGGGTCAGCGGTCAGTCTGGTTATAAAAGCAGGCTAATTGGAAGGGAATAAAGCGAGTGCTAAAATGCACAAAGCTCTTGGTTTCAGAGGGACAGGCGACAGATGGAGGAGCGGAGTCACTAGCGACCAGCAGACTTTTACTGTTTCTTGGAGACAGTTAGAGTGAGATGGAGCTGCTGGGTCTGAATATAGTGGAGCGTAGGCAGAAACACATCGGAGCCTAGAGCTCCAGCATGGCCCTGCAGCCCTCTTACAACTTCAGCCCGCTATTCTCAGCATGTGTGTGTGTGTGTGTGTGTGTGTGTGTACTTCTCTACATGTATCTATGCATTTACACACGTTTAATTACAACAGCCTTTTCAAACTAATGCCATGTAAAGGCGTTGACAAAAGTAAATCAGACCACAGTAAAAAAAAACAAACTGTTATTGGACCACAATGATATACTGTAAAACCATGATTGAGCCATGAAAAAATATAAAACAGTGACTGCACTGCAGCAAATAATGTAAAACCATGAGCTGAAAACAACAAGATAATGCAAAACAGTAACTGGACCACAGTAATCGACTCTAAATCTGTTATCAGACCACAAGAAACACTAAAAATAGTGATCAGTTTGCAAAAATGTGATTGGACCACAGTAATACACTGTAAAACTATGATTGGACTACAGTAATAAACTGTAAATCTGTTATCAGACCAAGAAGTACACTAAAAACAGTGATCACATTGCAAAAATGTGATTGCACCACAACAACATAGTGTAAATTCTGACTGAATCACAACAATATAGTTTAAAACTGTGATTGGACCATAACAATATAATGTAAAACTGTGATTGGACCACAACGATATAGTGTAAAACTGTGACTGGACCTCAACAATATAGTGTAAAACTGTGACTGGACCTCAACAATATAGTGTAAAACTGTGATTGGACCATAACAATATAATGTAAAACTGTGATTGGACCTCAACAATATAGTGTAAAACTGTGATTGGACCTCAACAATATAGTGTAAAACTGTGATTGGACCATAACAATATAATGTAAAACTGTGATTGGACCACAATGATAGAGTGTAAAACTGTGACTGGACCACAACAATATAGTGTAAAACTGTGACTTGGCCACAAAAATCGTGTAAAACTGTGATTGGACCACAACAATACAGTGTAAAACTGTGATTGGACCACAACAATATAGTGTAAAACTGTGATTGGACCACAACAATATAGTGTAAAACTGTGATTGGACCACAACAATATACAACAATAGACTGCAGCAAACAACTGTAAAACTCTGTAAAACTCTACCTTTCTGTAGTCGTCATATTCACTGAACAGCTCAGAGTCATCGTCCAGACTGTCCCCTGACGTCTCTGAGATGAGCCCAACCCCATCGTCCAGAATCTCCTCTGAGAAGAAAGATGGTCAGAACACAATGAATCTGCTGAACACTATAAAGAAGATGGTCATCTGTATTTTATTAACAATTTTATTAGCCATCAGAATCCACTGAAAACCTTTTAATTGGTCAACTAGGGCTTAAGACCTTGACCACCATGGCTCTGAGAACCCACTTAATACAGCACTGTACTATAATCAGTTGGACTGTAATGAACTGTATAAATTGCAAAACAGAACAACTGTGTACACGGTACAATAACTTTGAAGAACCCTGGTTCTGTTGGTTCAGAAATGGACCATCTCACCTTTTTTCTGCTTGTTCTGATAGAAACCCTATTCCTGGGTCTGCTGGTAATCCGGTTCATCTTTCTTTAAGTTGTGCCAAAAACCTAACTCATACTGGTTCTGCCGGTTCTGATAAATAATGCAACTCACTTTGGTTCTGCTAGTTCTACCAGTGATCCAGCAGAACCTATTGGCTCTGACAATAATCCACCTCAATTTGGTTGTACTGGTTCTGACAGCAACTCAACTCGCCCTGGTTCTGCTACTTCAGAAAGCGAACCAACCCATTGTTCTACTTGTTCTCTTAGGAACCCTGTCCCTGGTTCTTCTAGTAATCCACTATATCTTTGTTCAAGTGGTTCTGCCATTCACCCAACTCAGTTCGGCTCTTCATGGTTCTTTTAGTCCTGCTGGTACCTCAGCTCACCCTGGCTCAGCTAGTTTTGCCAATAGCCCAGCTCACTGTGGTTCTGCAGGTCCTAACCCACCTTGGTTCTGGGAGAAGATGTCGGTGTAGAGGTGCTGCACAGAGTCGGATCGTCTTGGGGGCAGGAAGCAGTGCTGTCTCCGGTCCACCGGGGGCAGTGTGTTCACTGTGAGTGAGAGGGATGCCTGAGAGAACGCAGCCTTCATGTCGGAGAAGGTCAACGTGCTGGAGTTTTTCCCGTTAAGCTGCAGGATCTCATCACCAGCATTCAAACCTGCAAAACATCACAATGTTTACATTGCAACACCCTAGCAACCCACTGGAATACCATAACAACCACCTTGCAACCACCTGGAACACCATGGTAACCACCTAGCAACATTCTAGCAACCACTTTGAGTACCATTCCATCCACCTAGCAACACCCTAGCAACCCCTGGAAAACCATAGCAACCACCTTGCAACCACCTGGGACACCATGGTAACCATCTAGCGACATTCTAGCAACCACTTTGGGTACCACTGCATCCACTTAGCCACACCCTAGCAACCCCCTGGAATACCATAGCAACCACCTTGCAACCACCGGGAACACCATGGTAACCATCTAGCAATATTCTAGCAATCATTTTGGGTACCACTGCATCCACCTACCAACACCCTAGCAACCCCCTGGAATACCATAGCAACCACCTTGCAACCACCGGGAACACCATGGTAACCATCTAGCAATATTCTAGCAATCATTTTGGGTACCACTGCATCCACCTACCAACACCCTAGCAACCCCCTGGAATACCATAGCAACCACCTTGCAACCACCGGGAACACCATGGTAACCATCTAGCAATATTCTAGCAATCATTTTGGGTACCACTGCATCCACCTACCAACACCCTAGCAACCCCCTGGAATACCATAGCAACCACCTGGAACACCATGGTAAGCACCTAGCAACATTCTAGCAACCACTCTGGGTACCACTGCATCCACCTAGCAACACCCTAGCAACCCCCTGGAATACCATAATAACCACCTGGAACACCATGGTAAGCACCTAGCAACATTCTAGCAACCATTTTGGGTACCACTGCATCCACCTAGCAACAACCTATCAACTCTCTGGAATACCACTGCAACCACCTTGCAACCACCAGGAGCACCACTGGAATCACCTAGCAACATTCTAGCAACCACTTCTGGTACCATTACATCCAACTAGCAACAGCCTAGCAACCACTTGGAATACCATAGCAACCATCATACAACCACCTGGAAAACCATTGGAACCACCTAGCAACATTGTAGCAATCATTTTAAGTACAACTGCATCCACCTAGCAACACCTTAGCAACCCCCCTGGAATACCATAGCAACCACCTGGGAAGTGCTTTACACCCATTTCTTCAGGAAATGCACTTTTATGGTCTTAAGTAACATCACAACATTCTAGCAACCACCTTGGGTACCACTGCAACCACATAGCAACCACCTGGAACACCATGGCGATCACCTAACAAAATGTTATCAACCACCCGGGAGGTGCTTGAGCTGTGCAACCACTTAAGCCTTATTTTCTTCACTTTTCTAGCTTTTTCTAACATCACATTTTGAATGTAGTCATTGCCGAGCACCGCGTAGATCACAGAGCATCACGGTTTCACGAGTCCCTATTGCTAATGTTCATAAGCCAACACTGTTAACGAAGAAAAAATAAATACGCTAAGTAAAGCTTCTGCATTGTGGCTGGCTTAGTAACATACTGCACTATCAACTGCTGATTAGGGCTACGTTAAATAACTAGGCTAACTTAGCAACTAGCATATCCTAGCTATGCTAAAGGCCAATGCATGCCAGTGTTATAATGGAACAAATGCCTTTGATTAGTGTACAGAAAATCATTTACCTTATCAAACATGTTTTGTAAATACTGTTACTCAAGTATACACAATTCAATGTGCTATGCATGTGTTATGAAGTCCCTATGTAGACATCCAGCTTAATAAGTGATACCAGATGTAACTTGACACTAGTTACTACTTTCATTTTGGTGCACCCTGCACAGTTGTGGGCGTGCGTGGACCGGCCTTGATTCCCGCCGTCCCATAGATAGTACAGCACTCGGAAAATTGGTGTAAGTCTTGAATAAGGGGGCCGGGGTGATATAATGGTGCTTCCTTTTCCTCCAGAGCGGAGCGTGAGTCAGCTAGCATGGCTAATTCGAGCCTCGCCGAACCCCCACAAAGCTCTCAATACACGTGTTACATAACGCAGCGTGGCAACAGCAATAACACCCATTACTGATCCCCGAACATCTACAGAAACATACAGCCTACAGCCCAGACAGAGAGAGGGAGAGAGAGAGAGAGAGAGAGAGAGAGAGAGAGAGGGAGAGAGAGGGAGAGTGTGGGGGAGAAGAGAAAAGGACGCTAATGAAGCGGAGAAGAGCAGTAATGAACCTTTAGCAAATGCTAATCCTCCTGCTTTCACATCAGTGATGTAGAGTTGCTGCACGCTGTCATCCTCCACCACTGAGATGGAGAAACCTGTCAGAGAGAGAGAGAGAGAGAGAGAGAGAGAGGGAAATTAGCTTAGCTAATACAGAGCAGCGGCAATATTAGTCTAAAAGTGCAACATGACATTGATTATTTTACCTCTTTATGCCTATTCATGTTCATATTTATACAGTTGCAGAAGGTTGAACACCCCCAGGTCATATTGCTTGTGTTGTTGATTTTCAAAGCGAATTTAAGTGCAAAATTTCTATTTATTTGCTGAGATTTATTTGCTCAGGTTTTTTTTTGCACAACCCTCAGTTTATGTTTTATTTTTTTCCTCCAAATATGTTCAATGCAGTAAATAAACAGTAATTGTGCATTAAAATGTGCTTATCTTCATCTAGAAAATCAACAAAACGGGTCAGTAATCGTTATTGTGATATTAGCCTTTGCTGATATTGGTAACACCATGGTAACCACCTGGCAACATTCTGGCAACCACTTCGCGTACCACTGCATCCACCTAACAACACCCTAGCAACCCCCTGGAAAACCATAACAACCACATCGCAACCACCTGGAACACCATGGTAAGCACCTAGCAACATTCTAGCAACCACTTTGGGTACCATTACATCCACCTAGCAACACCCTAGCAACCCCCTGGAATACCATAGCAACCACCTTGCAACCACCTGGAACACCATGGTAAGCACCTAGCAACATTCTCGCAACCACTTTGGGTACCACTGCATCCACCTAGCAACACCCTAGCAACCCCCTGGAATAGCATAGCAACCACTCTGCAACCATCTGGAACACCATGGTAACCACCTAGCAACATTCTTGCAACCACTTTGAGTACCACTGCATCCACCTAGCAACACCCTAGCAACCCCCAGGAATATCATAGCAACCACCTTGCAACCACCTGAAACACTATAGTAAGCACTTAGCAACATTTTAGCAACCACTTTGGGTACCACTGCCTCCACCTAGCAACACCCTAGCAACCCCCTGGAATAGCATAGCAACCACCTTGCAACCACCTGGAACATCATGGTAAGCACCTAGCAACATTCTAGCAACCACTTTGGGTTGCTAGGTGGATGCAATGGTGGTTACTAGAATGGTGGTTGCTAGAATGTTTCCAGGTGGTTACCATGGTGTTACCAATGTCAGTATTGCAAAGGCTAATATCATCATAACGATTACTGACACATTTTGTTGCAAATGAGCCTTCAACCAATCACAGCGAGCATCCTGACCAATCCTGACAATCATACTGTGCCGTTATCATATCATATTATATTAAACTGCATCACGTTGCATTGTATCAAATTGTATCGCATTGTATTGCATTATATTGCTTTATATCATATCATATTATATGCTATTGAGTTGTATCATAATATGATGTATAATATATTGTATTGTATTGCATCCTATTATATCGGACCACATGGCACTGTATCATATTATACCATACTGTATTATATCACATTGTATTGCATCCTATGTTGTATTGAATTGAACTGTATAACAGTGTATTATCTCATTGTATTAAATTATGTCATATCTCATTGCACTACATCATTTAATATCATATCATACTGTATTATATTATATACGATACATTAAATACGATTACGCATGGTATCGTATTGCAATGCATTGCATTGTATCGGAACGCACTGTACCAAATCACATCATACCACATTGCATCATATCATATTGTGTCGTATCGTGTATTATTATATATCGTATTGTGTCATATTGTATTATATAGTAGTGAACTGTCATATTGCATTGTATCAAATTGTGTTGCATTGGATTGCATCATATTGCTTCATATCACATCATATCATATGCTATTGTATTAATATTATAATGTATGATATCGTATTGTATTGCAAACACATCATGTTGTATTATATGGTATCAAATAGGGGTGGGAATCTCTCGGCACCTCACGATTCGATTCGATTACGATTCAGAGGGCTGCGATGCGATTATAAAACGATTATTGATGCATCTCGATGCATCTTTTTTTTCTATATAGCATTTATATTTTCTCACTGTGTGAGCTCGAGTTTCGAGTTCAAGTTTCAAGTTATTACACAACATGTCAGGACATTTATGCATTGAAATGCTTGTGGTGAGGCTCAGCTAATCACTCTACAGAAAGTAAATAAGTAAAAATAAAAATACAAGAAAAACCAACTGAAATATATTAAATATACACAAAACATACACAGAATATAGAGACAATATACATTTTAAAGTGACTAAGTGACTCAGTGCTGTTATTTAAAGTGACTTGGTACTTTTAAAGCAAAGTATTTGTAATGATCCATAATGAATTTACTTCCAATGTCTTTTATTAATAAAACAAATGGAAGTGATGTGGCAAGTGAACTAGAAGGCTCTCATTCAGTGCTCTTGTTTGGAGCTCGAAAAGCTGCTGCTAGTCATCTGCGATAAAATGCGCAGTTACGGTGAAATAAGATCCTGTGGTCATAGATGTCCACACAGCACATGTTACAGCTATTCTACCTGTTTTCTTTAGTGATTTTATAACTTCGGTTTTGGTCTCGTTGTAGAGACGGGAGGAATCGCTGTGTCAGTAAAGTATCTTTGAGACGGGACGTGTGCAACATAGCGCGAGAGCCCTGTTTCGCAACGACTGAGAACCGGCGTGCAGACTGCAGGTCACATAGCAGCGATGCGTTATTCGCATTCATAAGCAGCGCAGTCGGTTTCCTGGTACGTTAAATCTGCAATGAGAGACTGTCACACAGTAAAAAGTTGCGAAGATGAAGTCGCTTCTTTTTCAAACTCTCCTGTTCCACCTTAAATGGTGCCGCCTTTACATTCGGCACCTCAGTTAGAATTTAAGGTGGAACGGGTAAATTCGAACAAGAAGCTGGAGAATAAGAAGCGACTTCAGCCTCGTAAAACAGTCGAATCAGTTTTCTGGTGGAGATGGGAGGAAAGCGGCTATAGCTGAGCTAAAGCTTAAAGCAGAGCGAATTAAATCTGTGCTCTCGTTTATATTGTTTAGCCTATATTAGGACATTATCACACACTGAGACACACTGGACATTAAATGTTGCAGCTCCCAAGGTGGTTTGATTTTTGTTGAAAGGACAAAACGGCTCTTATTAACATTTGTGTTGTGACTCCTGACCTAACCTGGCTTTTAATGCAGAGGGCGCCGGTCGGATTTCTCGCTCTTCCACTTATGTTACTGTTATGTGCCGCCACAGACTGTCCGGGCGCTGCACTTCCACACTTCCAAGTTCCGCCTTTTGCGTTCTGCCAACATTATTTTATAAATCAAATAATTAGAAAATCGATTTTTGACATTTGTGAATCGATTCAGAATCGTTCACGTCCGCATCGCGATACATCTAAGAATCGATTTTTTCCCGCACCCCTAGTATCATATCACGTATTTTTTTGTATTGAACAATATCGTATTATACCTCATCGTGTCAAATCATATCCTAACATCATATCACATTGTGTTGCATTGTGTCTTATCATATGGTGTATTGCATTATATGGTATTGAATTGAATCGTATTGGATCACAAGTTATTGTCTTGTACCATATCATATTGTATTGAACTGAATTGTATCAAACTGTATTGTATCTCATTGTACTGAATCATATCAAATCATATAGCACTGCATTATATCATATTACATTATAGCACATAGTGCTATATTGAATCGTCTCATACTAAATAGTATCTGATCATATTGCATAATGTTGTTTTGCACTGTATTGTACTGTATATTATCATATCGTATCATATATGGTACTGAATTGTCTTGTATCACATGGTATTATATGGCATTGCATTAAATTGTATGGTAACTAATCATATCATATGGTATTGAATGAAATTTTATCACATAGTATCGTACTGCATTGCATCGTATCATGTCGAATTGTACTGCACAGCAAAATATCACATCGTATTGTGTCACACTTACCGTATCCAATCATGCAGGACTCGTCCCGGTCGAACTGAATGACCTTCCTGATTTTGGAGCACAGCTCGATTTCCTTGTACAGCTGTGAATGAAGAGTGATGCAGTGCTGATTAGGCTCTTTCAGTGCTACAGATTACCATCTCACAGCTGTCCACAGTCAGAGATACAGAGAGAGCGAAAGGAGAGAGAGAGCTGTCCCAGTTCTTAGAGCAATAAAGCTGTATTACATATAACTGTGAAAATTGTACGTGTGAAAATTATATTTTTGCATTTTTTTAAATTTCTGATATCAAAACAGGAAAAAGTGCAGAACCTGTCCATATGAAATGTAAAACCAACATGACGTAATTCATAATGTAACTGTAATTAATGATGTGATTACACTTTAAATAATTAGGTGGTTATAAATTAGCAACGACAACAGGAAACATTTCTGCTCCGAATGTACCAGATCATGAACGTCCTCCTCCGGTTTGGGGATGTAGAACTGAACCTGTGTCTCGATCAGGAACTTCAAACGCAGGTAGTGCTTAGTGGAGTCCAGACCATGAGCCTGGAGAGAGAGAAAAAGAGAGAGAGAGAGGGAGAGAGAGAGAGGGAGAGAGAGAGAGAGAGAAAGAGAGAGAGAGAGAGAGGGAGAGAGGGAGAGAGAGAGGGAGAGAGGGAGAAAGAGACAGAGAGAGAAAAAGGGAGAGAGAGGGAGAGAGAGAGGGAGAGAGGGAGAGAGAGAGAGAGAGAGAGAGAGAGAGAGAAAGAGAGAGAGAGAGAGAGGGAGAGAGGGAGAGAGAGAGGGAGAAAGAGACAGAGAGAGAAAAAGGGAGAGAGAGGGAGAGAGAGAGGGAGAGAGGGAGAGAGAGAGAGAGAGAGAGAGAGAGAGAGAGAGAGTGAGAGAGGGAGAGAGAGAGAAGGAGAGAGAGAGAGAGAGAGAGGGAGAGAGAGAGAGAGAGAGAGGGAGAGAGAGAGAGAGTTATCTGAAGAAAACGCTTCTAAACAGGCTGAATGTTCTTTAATGCCAGCCAAATCAACACAATACAAAAACAACACCTAATGCTGCTTATGCAACCGTCTTCATAGCCAGTCTGTGTAATGACCACTGCTTTAAACACATAACTTACATAAACAGCACTGTGAAACGAGTCTCTGATGATGGAGCATGATTGCTCTTACAGACAGGTTTACACCTGTTTACAGGTATGGATGGAACAGTAATCAAGCGTTACCTTGCAGATTGTCTCCAGTGTGTCCAGCGCAGACTCTCCGGGCCGGACGATGGCCAGAACGGGCCGGCCATTGGGTAAACATACCCAGGAGGGTGTGAGGTGGTCTTTAGCCCAGGCGTCCTGCTCCGCACTGGGCCTCACTGCCCCCTTCACACAGACTGGGTCATCTTTCTACAGCAGAAAAACATACAAGCTGTAAAACTGGCTTTTTATACACATACACTACTGCTGTTATACATATACACAACAGCTACTACACATACACACTACTATTATACACAAACAATACTTCTGTTATACATATACACGACCGATATATATTTTATATGTTATATGTTTATATATATATATATATATATATATATATATATATATATGTGTGTGTGTGTATATACATATCTATATACATATATATATATATATATATATATATATATATATATGTATACACACACACACATATATATATATATATATATGCTACTGTTATTATACATATACAACACTGCTATTATACATACACACCACTGCTACTCTACATATACTCTACTGCTATTATACATATACACTACTGCTATTATACACCTACACTCCTACTTTTATACATATACACTACTGTTATACATATACACTACTAGTTTAAATACAATTAACATCTAGAATCAAGTTCTAATCAAATTAATATCCTGATTCAAATTCTAATAAGATAAATTCCAAAATCAATTTCCAGAAAAAGATGAATAGATGGACGGGTGGATCAATGAATAAAGCTTACTGCAGTCCTTGATGATTCATCAAACATTTCCTCCAGAACCCTCCTCACTGGCTCCTCCCCTTCTGCAAAAACCTGCAAACACAATAACAATCTATATTACTCCAATTAATGATCTACTGCACACCAATAAACAAACCTTATTGCTTTCCACAACTCCAAAGTTCAGTCTTAGAAGTTGGCTGTATTTTCTGCTTTTTTAGGTAATACCAAACACATTTAAAGGTATAATAAATGATGAGTTATTGACACACTTAAATCGTCTCACTTTGACAGTCGCAATAAATGGAATCTGTTGGAATCTGATCATCATTCAGCTCAAGCCGGGCGTGTGCGTGTACCTGCTCTATGCTGGGGTGTGTTTTGTTTTTCCTCTTTGTGCTGGTCTCCAGGCCCCACAGTGAGGAGAAGCGACTCTTGCGTTTGCTGGTGGAGCGGGACATGGCGTGTGTACGCCTCCGAACGCCACACTCCGTACGGGCCGCCACCTGCACACACACATTTAATCATATTTTTATGATTTTTATTCTATTTAATAATTACTCTCTGACACTGACTGACACTGCACATATCAATATCCTGGGAAGTGAAATTATGTTACACCTAATCAGTATATCTCATATTTCTCATTATGAGATTGCTGTAAGAATATTATTATATCATTAAGATTATTCAACATATTTCTTAACATTTAATTTACATAAATAAGTAAGTTTCCCCTCTCCCTACTTTGTCCTCTCCAGTCCTGTCCTGCCCTGCTTTACCTTGCCCAGTAGTCTTGCCCAGTTACCTTGCCTGGTCTTGCCTAGTTGCCTTGCCTAGTAGTCTTGCCTTGTCTTGTCCAATTGTCTTGTCTGGTCTTGCCCAGTTGCCTTGCCTTATCTTGCCTATTTGCCTTGATTTGTCTTGCCTAATTGCCTTGTCTTGTCTTAGCTAGTTGCGTTGCCTCATCTTATCTAGTTGCCTTGATTTGTCTTGCCTAGTTGCCTTGTCTTGTCTTGGCTAGTTGCCTTGCCTTATCTTGTCTAGTTGCCTTGATTTGTCTTGCCTAGTTGCCTTGTCTTGTCTTGGCTAGTTGCCTTGCCTTATCTTGTCTAGTTGCCTTAATTTGTCTTGCCTAGTTGCCTTGTCTTTTCTTGCCTAGTCGTCTTGTCTTGTCTTGCCTAGTTGCCTTGATTTGTCTTGCCTAGTTGCCTTGTCTTGCCTAGTTGCCTTGCCTTGACTTGGCTAGTTGCCTTGGCTTATCTTGTCTAGTTGCCTTGATTTGTCTTGCCTAGTTGCCTTGTCTTGTCTTGGCTAGTTGCCTTGCCTTATCTTGCCTTGTTGCCTTGTCTTGTCTTGGCTAGTTGCCTTGCCTTATCTTGCCTTGTTGCCTTGTCTTGTCTTGGCTAGTTGTGTTGCTTCGTCTTGTCTAGTTGCCTTGATATGTCTTGCCTAGTTGCACTGTCTTGTCTTGCCTAGTTGCATTGTTTTGTCTTGCCTTGCCTAGTTACCTTGTCTTGTCGTGGTTAGTTGCGTTACCTTGTCTGGCTAGTTGCCTTGCCTTGTCTTGTCTAGTAGCTTTGCTTTACCTTGCCCAGTTTTTTTGCCTGGTCTTGCTCAATTGCCTTGCCTTGTCTTGTCTTGCCTAGTTGCCTTGCCTTGTCTTGCCAGTTGTCTTGCTTTGTCCTGCCCAATTGCCTTGCTTTGTCTTGCCCAATAACCTTGCCCTGCTGCCTTGCCTTTTCTTGCCCAGTTGCCTTGACGTGTTGCCCTACCCAGTTGCCTTGCCCAGTGGCCTTGCTTAACTGTCTTGCCTAGTTGCCTTGCCTTTCTGTTACTTTTTCTTGCTTTGCCCAGTTGCCTGGCCTTGTCCAGATGCCATGCCTAGTTGCCTTGCCAATTCATTACCTTGCCTTGCCCAGGTGCTTTGCCCAATTGCCTTGCCTAGTTGCCTTGCTTAATTATCTTGCCTTGTCTTGCCTAGTTGCCTTGCCTTTCTGTTACCTTTCCTTGCTTTGCCCAGTTGCCTGGCCTTGTCCAGATGCCATGCCTAGTTGCCTTGCCAATTCATTACCTTGCCTTGCCCAGGTGCTTTGCCCAATTGCCTTGCCTAGTTGCCTTGCTTAATTATCTTGCCTTGTCTTGCCTAGTTGCCTTGCCTTTCTGTTACCTTTCCTTGCTTTCCTTAGTTGCCTTGCCCAGTTGCCTGGCCTAGTCCTCACCATGCCTTTCCCAGCTGCCTTGCTTAGTTGCCATGCCATGCTTTGGGAAATTGCCTTGCTCTGCCCAGTTGCCTTGCTTTTCTTTTCCCTGTCTAGCCATAGCTTAGCCTTAAGCTTTGCAATTATTCTAGCTATTAGTATTGCCTTAACTTTGTTTATTAGCCTTGCCCTTTTCAGCTTGGCCTATTTCTGCCTAGTTCATTACATGAAATTAGGCTTTGCTTGTTTCAAGAAATAATGCTTAAGGGATGTAGAGTCATGTTTAACACTTTTACATATAGCAGTTTTAATTTAATGTCCTTACAACAGTCTCCAGACAGTGCTGATTAATACTAAATAAATAAACATAATCAATACAAATAAACAACGAAAATAAAGGAATGCAGTAAAAGCATTCGGCTCAAAATGTACTGAAAACGAGGACGAAACAGTGACTTCTCTCTAAATTTTTCTCTGTCTCTCTCGTTCTCTTTATATCTCTGTCTCCCTCTCTCTCTTTATTTCTTTCACTCTCTCTCATTTCCATCTCTCTCTTTTTCTCTCTCTGTCTGCCCCCCGCCTTTCTAAATGTTATGGAGGTATAAAGAGGAACAGAAAGCTCAATACAGAATAAAGAATCTTTTAGCCTTTCAGTCTAAAAGCTATCACACAATTCTTCTCTGTCTTTCTCCCCCGCTGATAGAGCTGTGGGTGGCTACACACACACACATACATACACACACATGGAATTGACCACCCAAAGCCGTGACCGCCTCCCTCCCCCCCGCACTCACACATAAAACAGCACACAGAGACAGAAATAAAGCTCAGACTATAATAAAGTCAGACTGAAGCTGATTTATGGGCTTTACTGTGCAGCAGGTTTAGATTCAGTTTAACCTGCAGGACAGTCTGACGTTCCGTTTACACTCAGACACATAAACATTACCAGCCAAGAGCCTCGGGGGGCCTCAAACTATAGCGCCCAGGGGACGATCCACTGCAGGTGTGAACATTGGACGAACAAATGAGTGAAATAAAGAAATGTTATCTCAGGCCCTGAAGTTTGGAGAGGTAATGATGAAAAGGAGATAAATGAATAGATAGATGATAGATGGAGGGATGTAGAGGAGATAAAGTAGTAGACTGATAGAGGATGGAGGGATGCAGAGGAGATAAAGGAGTAGACAGACAGAGGATGGGGGGGATGTAGAGGAGATAAAGGAGTAGATAGATAGAGGATGGAGGGATGTAGAGGAGATAAGGGAGTATATAGATAGAAGATAAAGGGATGAAGAGGAGGCAAAGGCAGGCAGAGGATGCAGGGATGGTTACCAGGGCATGGAAGGAGGAGACGGAGAAGATGCCGAGGCGGCCCATGGCCAGTTTGGTGGGGCGCGAGGCGAAGGCCAGCAGGCGTTTGGGGTTGGGCAGCTCGCCGCCCTGCAGGCTGGACAGATAACAGCGGAAACGAAACAGGTCCATATGGAACTGCTCCAGATTCTGCTCCCACAGGAATATCTGAGAGAGAGACACAAAGAGAGAACAGAGAGAGAGAGAGAGGTAGAAAGCTGTAAAATCCATATTGGTTGAAGGCTTATCTACATACAGGGGCGCCCAGACTCCGGCGCCACGGCGTTACCTGCTCCAGGATGGTCTTCCTCTTCTTGGTGTCGGTGACCGAGGCCAGCTGCATGTCTCCCATCTTCTTCATCTTCTCATCCATGTCGATCTTCTGCTCCAGCTTACGGATCTCGGAGCGCAGGAGCCGCACCGTGTCGTCACGGTGGTGCTGCCGGGCGAAGGCCGCCGCGCATGCGGAGTGGATCGCCGTCACCCAGTTCTCCAACTCCGTCTGACTGCTCGTCTGGACAGAGAGACGGACAGTGAACCCTCTGACCCCTCACTGATTAGTCAATCAATCAATAAATCAATATGTTCATCCTTAGAGTTATTATTCAGGAATTGGTTCACAATCCTACTATGAATTATTCAGTATCTGCCATGAATTATTCAGTACCTACTATAAATTGTTCAGTACCTACTATGAATTATTCAGTATCCGCCATGAATTATTCAGTACCTACTATAAATTGTTCAGTACCTACTATGAATTATTCAGTATCTACTATGAATTATTCAGTATCTGCTACGAGTTATTCAGTATCTGCTATGAGTTAGTCAGTGTCTATTATCAATTATTCAGTATCTACTGTGAATTATTCAATATCTACTAAGAATTATTCAGTATCTGCTATGAGTTATTCAGTATCTACTATCAATTATTCAGTATCTACTATCAATTATTCAGCATCTACTACGAATTATTCCGTATCTACTATGAATTATTCAGTACCTAATATGAATTATTCAGTATCTAGTATGAATTATTCAGTAATCACTATAAATTATTCAGTATCAAATATGAATTATACAGAATCTGCTAGGAATTACTCCGTATGTACTATAAATAATTCAGTATTTAATATAAGTAACTCAATATCTATTATGAATTATTTAGTATCCACTATGAATTGTTCAGTAACTACTATGAATTGTTCAGTATCAAATATAAATTAATCAATATCTGCCATTAATTATTCAGTATGTGCTATGAATTATTCAGAAAGTACTACAAAACTAACATGTAAGCGAGTGTGTTTATGAGGAACTGAAGTGTGGACCCACATGCTGACCCTTAACTCGGGTCACTGCGGTCCGTCCTGGAGAAAAGCAGCAGCATGTTTACCTGGAACAGGTACGAGTCTCCCATGGAGTTACTGAGGCAGAAGACGAAGTCTTTTTTGGGGTGCTCCGGCACGGCCTGGACGATACTGTTCTCCGCCCACACGCCATGTTTGGGGACGCTGGTGTGATCGATTCCAGAACGCCCGTCCGTCTCGTAGAAAAACAGAGTGCATCCTGGGAAAACAAGCAAGCACAATGTAATGAACGTCCACTTCCTCCACCTTTAGTTTCTTTCTTTTTAGAACAGCTACTAAGACTAACAATATTTTATTTGTGAGTTCATATTCATTGCACCTTTCATACATTAAAATTCAGCTCAAAGTGTTTTTATAGAAATTGTACAGACGAATTAAATCAATATTTAAAAAGAAAAGCAAATAAATCTAATAAATAAAAAAAGGAGACTCAAATAAGTACACTTATTATTGTATATTGACTAATTCTGCTCTCTAGTGGCCAGTGGTGAGAAGTGCAGCTCAACATTCTTTACAAATGAATCACACAGATTTTATGCAATTTAACTTATTTAACACTTAAATATTTTTATTTTGCTATTTTGCCATACAGTTATGAAAGATTTTACCTATTAAAATTAATGTTTTTGTTCAAAAATACACATATTTCACATGGTACTTATTCTCATATTTAGACAGAATAGAGGTTAATCACTATTTAAATACCACAAATATATACGCATTATAATGATACAGGGAAATAGGAACTGTAGCATTCACAGTGAGATCCACTAACAACATCATAAAGATGTTAATTATCTTTTATTATATAGCACTGTTATTTTCAGACAATCACCCAGGACATGTTTGGTGTCTGTAGTTTTTGAGTTATGAGGCTAATGTGGCTAACGTAAGACTACGACCACCAATTAGCATACAGACAGAATTCAGGCTTCTATATGGCCACTGCTACTGTTTTTAGCTTCATGCTAATGTACTTTAGTCCATGTTTATAGATAACAGTGACTCATACAGTGTCAGAAACCACATAATCAAGTCTATTAGAGACACTGAACACCTCCACACAGTGAGGTTGTTAGGCATGCAGTTAGCACCATGCTAACTGGTGATGCTAATTAGCTTACATCACCCTAGCTTCAATAGCCTTGTAGCTCCAGTGCTAGAATAAAAGAAGCAAACACGCTGGGCTGCTAATATTTTTTGCAGTTTTTACTAATAGCTAAAGGCTAATGCTACAATCTTCGTTCAGTGCTTCGTTATTATTCACACCTTTCAATGAGACCCAGTAGCTCTTCCACTTGCGGCGGGCAGCGAGCTCCACCTTCTTGTTCTTTTTGTGCACGAGCAGGTTTTTGACGGTCAGCCGACCGGCCTTGCGAACGCTGCCCTGAGCGGCGGCCGCGCCCAGCAGCGGCTCCGTGTGATAGGCCAGTCCCAGCAGGGGCTCGGTGTGGTAGGCGGAGCTTAGCGTGACACTGCTCTGTTCGTCGCTTAGGGCTGACGCCCGCTCCTCCGCCCGCTCTGCCTGGCACCCGCTCTTCTCCAGCTCCTGGCGGAAGTTCTCATAGACGCCCTGCGTTTAAAGACACTGCAGTTAGTAGCCAGAATTAGTGCTCACTCAGGAGCTCCTGACCTTTAACCCTTAGCACCCTCCTGGTCTTAATAACCATCAATTCTATATAGAAGCTTTTGCTTAAATGGTTCTCTGCATGATGAAATGGTTCTTCAGATCGATGGAGAATGTGTTGAAAATGGTTCAGGAGCCCCTGACCTTTAACCCTTAGTACCCCCCCTGGTCTTAATAGGGCCTTTTTACATTTCCACTGCTTTTCTGCTGCAGTTCTCATTGCAGGGTTACGCTGATTACACTGAAACAACAGCAATAACAACGAAAGCCTTTATTTATGTGCTTGTTTATCTGATATATGGCCAAAAATGCAAACATATCATGAATGGTCAGGCATATATTTCATAACGTATATGTTGTGTACATACAAAGTGAACATTTAATTCCTTAAACAGCTCCTCATGGTGATGCACGTTTGTTGTAACAGTAGCTGTTACTGCTTTATACAGTCTATTCATTTTACACTCAACTCTGAGAGAACAGTTATGGCATTTACACCGGTCAGGCATAACATTCTGACCACCTCCTTGTTTCTACGCTCATTGTCCATTTTATCAGCTCCACTTACTATATAGGTGCACTTTGTAGTTCTACAGTTACAGACTGTAGTCCATCTGTTTCTCTGATACTTTGTTAGCCCCCTTTTACCATGTTCTTCAGTGGTCAGGACCCCCGTGGACCCTCACAGAGCAGGTACTATTTGGGTGGTGGATCATTCTCAGCACTGCAGTAACACTGACGTGGTGGTGGTGGTGGTGTGTTAGTGTGTTGTGCTGGTGCGAGTGGATCAGACACAGCAGTGCTGCTGGAGTTTTTAAACACCTCAGTGTCACTGCTGGACTGAGAATAGTCCACCAACCAAAAACATCCAGCCGACAGCGTCCTGTGGGCAGCGTCCTGTGACCACTGATGAAGGACTGGAGGATGGCCAACACAGACTGTGCAGCAGCAGATGAGTTATCGTCTCTGACTTTACATCTACAAGATGGACTGACAAGGCAGGAGTGTCTAATAGAGTGGACAGTGAGTGGACACAGTGTTTAAAAACTCCAGCAGCACTGCTGTGTCTGATCCACTCAGACCAGCACAACACACACTAACACACCACCACCACGGCAGTGTCCATTCATTGTAATTCACTGAAAACTCTCCATAGCGCCATCTATAAAACCCCTCAAAAATCTCTCTGACCTGCACCGCTTCTGCAGGTCCGGCCCCGCTGCTGCTGCCGCTATCGCTGCCGGCGAAGGCGCCCCCTGCTGTAGTGGAGTAAGCGGAGAAGGAAGCAGACATGGCCTTGTAGCGGCGGGGCTGGGACGCCGCGCTGTCTCCGATCAGCCCGTCGATCCCGCTGTCCTCCAGCTCGCTGCCGTCAGCCGCCGTGACGTCCTGCACAGACACACGTACCCATACTCATTAGCATAGTTAGCATCTCACCCTCAGCATCATTCTGTAACCCTGCTGTCCAGCATCTCTTCATCACACACCTGCAGTGATGTTGTGTTAGTGACACCACATCTCTTACGGAAACCTGCTTTGATTACACTGTTTTTGTGATGTCACAGATGTTGCATATATCCACCTATTCAGCCTACAGCAGTTTAACCCCACCCACTCACAATGAAGTGAGTGTTTCAGGCCAGACTGCTTTTTGAAGGAGGTACAGCCAATCAGAACAGAGCACATTTACATATAACAGACTAAAGTCTTAAAGGATGAAGAGAGGCTGAAAATGGTCCTTTAAAATTAATTATGAGTGTTTTTTGTACATAAAACTACACAAACATCATAAAAGGCAATGCAAAAAAAATGAGATCCCTCTATATGAGACACTGCTATATGTAAATGAGCTCTGCTCTGATTGGCTATGCCTCATTCAAAAGGCAGCCAACACTCATCATTATAACTTCAGTGTGAGTGGGTGGAGCTAAATCACTGTAGGTTAATAAGTGAAAATACGCAAATGCATTTATCTTAGTGACACTGCAGCTTCTTTATTTCAAAAAAATGCAAGGAAACGTCAGTTTTTCATAAAATAAGCCCTTTAAATCAGACGTGTTCTGTTTTCTTTGGGATTTAAAATACTATTCAGATAAAACTGAGCACTATAAAATGAACACGGTCGCTGTAATATCTTTAAAATATTAAAATTTCATGACGATTGGACCAATAAAAATGATCCAAAATAATCTGGAACAAAATCGTGTTATACTAAAAGTTTTAACCCAGAATATTTTTAACTTCCTGTTCAAGTTAAAGGGCCCGTATTATATAAAACTAAATTTCCCCCCAATTCTTGAAATGAAAAGTGTTTGACGTAGTATGTAAACATTAATAAAGCTTCAAAACATACTCCACAGTCCATACAGTCCATAGCATGAGTATGAAAACTCATTTGAATTCTTTGTTTTTGTGATGTCACCAGATTGACACATATCTGCCTATACAGCGGTTTAGCCCCGCCCACTCACACAGAAGTTATAAGGAGTGTTTCAACCTATACTGCTTCCAAATGAGGTACAATACAGGACAGCCAATCAGAACAGAGTTCATTTACATATATCAGTCTTAAAGGGACAGTAACACAGTCTAATTCTAAGGGATAAAATGAAATAGGAATAACTTAGTACCGAAAATCATGATAAAAAAATAACAAAATTCAAGAAAAATGTAGGATATCGGCCCTTTAAGTGATGATATAAAGTTATCGATAACTATGAATATTGATATGATATCGGGAAAAAGATATCGTGATGCTATTTTGGGCTGTATCGTCCAGCTCTAGCTCAAAAGTATCTCCAAATCCTGTTCAATCAGTCCCACACCTTAAAGCCCCTCTCCTACCTTTCCAGCTGACCCCTCAGTGACCTCAGAAGCAGACGACATGCTGCTGGCTGTAAAGGGAGCATGCTAAAGGCTAACCGCTAAGAGCAGGGTCAGGAACCGCTAAAGAGCAGCGCTAGCCTGTTTTTCCACAGTTTGGTGGCCTGTATCTGTACAGTACAATACGACCCTTCACAGGGGCCGATTACCCACCGATCCCGGCATCTACTGAGGGTCACGTGACCCCCTGTCGGCCGGCTCGGCACGCCATTCATCTCTGCTGCGCACACATATCTCCTACTGCTGCGTTCCCATGTCAGTAAGCGCTCATTAGCATGAGAAAGGCAGCGAGCGCTTCACCGAGCAGCGCGTCTCCTCAATCAGAGCTTCACCACAGAGAAGCTGGAAGCATGTGGAGAATGCAGCGCTGCTAATCCGGCAGCATCCGCAAGGACACTGGATCAAATCCCTGGATGTGGTGCCAGATTAAAGGAGTAATTCAGAGAAAAATCGGAACATGCCCAGTTTCACCGCTTCTTATCCCAAATAGCCTGTTGGTTAGGCTTCATCACGGAAGCTACAACTCTTGCTTCACTGTGGAGAAACTTACTGAGTCAGATGTCTTTACAGTGGTGGTGATAGGAACCAGGGGTCACCATGACTACAACACTAATATAGACATTTTATTTACTATCAAAACCACCAGTGAACCTACACGAGTCTTCTGAGTTTATATGGAATGTTGATGATGGAAAATAGTGGAAAATCTGAAATAATAAGTCTTTTTTAGGGACTATTTTGCCTCACAGCACCCTGTATATTATGTATCCCTCCACCATGAATGGAGTTTAAGGCCAAAACCTTCTCAAAACAGTGCCTCAGTCATCAGGCAGTGAATTCATAACCATTTACTGTAGTAACTTTCTGTGAGGGAGCTTTTAGAGGTGGACGTCTGGTTCCTGTCACCACCACTGTGAACAGTTCTGACTCGGTAAGTTTATCTAGAACAGAGCGTTTCACCCCAAACCGCTCTGAACCACTCTGTTTACATCTTAACCAGTTAATTATGCAGCAATACCACTGGTACCACAGCTTGGTTTAAAAAGCCACCATAAAGGATCACACACAGTGTGCCAGGCTGCTTAACGTGGAGCAGCCAATCAGAACAGAGCTCATTTACATATCTCAGTCTTAAAGGCACAGTAACACAAACAGCCTGTTAGGGGAGGAAGAGAGGGAAGGAGAAGTCATGTGAATGTGAATTATGACATAAACGAGTGGAGAAGTTACCTGTATGGTCTGTGCCCGCCGGCCCTGCATGGCCCCCTGGTGGCTGGTCACTCCCTCTGACAGGCAGTGTGACCGGCGGCAGGGCAGAGTGAATGCTCCGTAATTGGCTCCGTCATCGTCACACGGCGACAGCATCTTGTCCTCCTCGCTGTCCGCCCCCACCGAGCCCCCCTTCTGCCGCTTAGCGTAGCGCCCGTGGCTCTGCGGCCCGTACAGCTCGTCCAGTGAGTTGGCCCGCGTGGAGTCCGGCGCGTCCGCGATCTCCTCCGTGCTGGTGAGGTTCTCCAGGCTGGCGTCTGACAGAGAAACTTCCAGAGAGTCTTCCCTCCACATATCAGCCGACTTGGAGCGCTTCTTCTTACAGACATAGAGAGAGAGAGAGAGAGAGACAAAGAGAGAGACAGAGAGAGAGAGAGAGAGAGAGAGAGAGAGAAAGAGAGAGAGAGAGAGAGACAGAAAGAGAGAGAGGGAGAGAGAGACAGAGAGACGGAGAGAGAGAGAGAGAGAGAGAGAGAGAGAGAGAGAGAAAGAGAGAGAGAGACAAAGAGAGAAAGAGAGAGAGTTAAGTAGATAGATAGATAGACAGACAAACCGACAGACAGACAGACAGGCAGATAGATAGACAGACAGACAGACAAACCGACAGACAGACAGACAGACAGACAGACAGATAGATAGACAGACAGACAGACAGATAGATAGATAGATAGACAGACAGACAGGCAGATAGATAGACAGACAGATATAGATAGATAGATAGACAGACAGATATAGATAGATAGATAGATAGATAGATAGATAGACAGACAGACAGACAGATAGATAGACAGACAGACAGACAGACAGGCAGATAGATAGATAGACAGAGAGATAAATAGACAGATAGATGGACAGACAAACCGACAGACAGACAGACAGACAGACAGATAGACAGATAGACAGATAGACAGACAGACAGATAGATAGACAGACAGATAGACAGACAAACCGACAGACAGACAGACAGACAGACAGATAGATAGATAGATAGATAGATAGATAGACAGACAGACAGACAGACAGACAGATAGATAGATAGATAGACGGACAGACAGATAGAAAATTAATACCCAGAATAAAGTTTTAATGTAAGTAATATCTGAAATAAAGTTTTAATAAAATTAATATCCAGAATGAAATTCTATGAAAAATAATGAAATTTCCATCCTGAATGTGTCATTTGTTTAAAAGTTGTGATAGAATCTCAAGGCAGATAACCTGAACAAGAAATTAATATGTTTATAGACTATAAATTAAAAAATACAGTGTATTAATTATCTTTTAATAACTTTATACCAAAAAAGTTAAAATACTGAGCAAATTGTACCCCAAAAAATATCTGTTATTTATTTCAGTCGACTCTGTATAAATTATCATTAAATCACTGAAATTATACGACTCTAAAATTTTTGACCTTTCGAAAGTTTCTGTAAAACTGTACAGATTTTCTGAATGAATGAAAACTGAAAATAAAAATGAATGTAAATTTACAGAATTCTTCTTGAGGCTGCCGCCGTCGCGGTGTTGGGGGGATCTGGCGCCCCCCTGTGGCTCCGCTCCGTCCTGTGTGTTCTCTGTTGACTCTGCGGTGTCGGTGGCGTCGGTGGGTTCGGTGTGGAAGGTCATGGGCCTCAGGTTCATGGCGACCCGGTCCACCCAGATGGGGGCGCTGAAGTCGGGCAGTCCAGCGTCGTGGTCGTCGAAGGGCTCCAGGCCGTGCTCGGCGAGCGACTGAGGGATGCTGGGAGTGCTGCTGGACCGCGTGCTCGTCTCCGAGTTTCGGTGCTCCGGCTTTCCGGACGCCGCATGGCGGGAATGATAAGACTGCTTCCCGGACAGCCGCAGAGAGCGGGACACACGCTTCCGGGACAGCTGTCTCTGCCGGTCGCCGTAGAAACCATGGCTGCCGCACTGGCTCTCCACGTTACCCATAGTTCAGAGTCTGTAACGGAAATGATGCCAAATAATAACCGTTAGGATCTAAGGATGTAATACGGCTGGGAATTTTAAAGGTTAAAACTGGAAGAATTCCTTAAAATATGCCAGGATTGGCTCCGATACCAATCCACTGGAGCAGGTCGAGACATCAACATACTGAATATCATTTTTTTTACTTTAGTATTTGAGTTGAACCGACGAAAACACAAATTCAGTATAACTGTGATTCATGTATGTAATGTAATTAATATTGCAATCACATAGAAATATATTATAAAGGGGAATTCCACCCATTTTTCAAAATTCCCCCCATAATTCAGTGTGGGAGATGATTCAGAGTGGTTTGGTGTGAAATGGTTCAGATGTCTTTACAGTGGTGGTGATAGGAACCAGGGGTCGCCATGACGACAACACAAATATAGACATTTTATTTACTATACAGAACCACCAGTGAACCTACATGAGTCTTCTGAGTTTATATGGAATGTTGATGATGGAAAACAGTGGAAAATCTGAAATAATATGTTTTCTTTGGGGACTATTTTGTCTCACAGCGCCCTGTATATTATGAATCCCTCCACCATGAATGGAGTTTAAGGCCGAAATCTTCTCTAAACTGTCATAAAACAGTGTCTCAGTCATCAGGCAGTGAATTCATAACCATTTCATGTAGTAACTTTCTGTGAGGGAGATTTTAGAGGTGGACGTCTGGTTCCTATCACCACCACTGTGAACAATTCTGACTCGGTAAGTTTATCTAGAACGGAGCGTTTCACACCAAACCACTCTCAACGACTCTGTTTACATCTTAACCAGTTAATTATGCAGAAAATTTAAAAATATGGTGGACCTCCCCTTTCAGTATATAGTATAGCAAAGCAACAGTAATAACTGCACTTTAAGGCGATAAAGTTCTTGGTTGTTTTTCTGTTATAAGCCTCGTTTTTAAAGTATGACATAGAAAAATCTGTTAACGCATGCAACCTGCAACATAACACTGACATAACCGTACCATAAACATGTAATAGCAGATGTTATACACTGTCATGTTGTTTATTGCGTGATATAACAGTGTGATGTTACCATTAACAGCAGATGGCATGATAATCAGACGTAATGGAGACATCACACTGTCATAGCACAGAACACAGCCTGTCCTGACATCATATGACATCAGCTATAACATGTTTATAGCATGATTATGCTAATGTTATGTGACCCTGTTGGTGTAAATGTTGATTCGGTCGTGAAATGAAGTGACGCTCCTCTACCTGCGGTGCGGTGACGACATCAGTAACAGGCCAAACTCAGACGAACGCATCTCTGCTGTGTCCCTCCGGCTGCTGCAGTACAGAGAGAGAGAGAGAGAAAGGAAAGAGGAAGAGAAAGAAGGAGAAAAGAGTGAAAGCAGGTTAAAACGTCTTGCCTGTTGAAGGAATGCAAACACCCAGCATTTCTCTCAGCCCCTATCAGCTCACAGCACGGCCCGCTGACTCTCCAGACGGACGGAGCTGAGATTTACGAGTGTGCGGTCAGGACCACACGCACGATCCCTCAGCAAACGCTGCGTAAAACTGACTCACATCACAGCTGCTACTGTACTGGCTCTGTACAGTGGTGGTGATAGGAACCAGGGGTCGCCATGACTACAACACAAATATAGACATTTTATTTACTATCCAAAACCACCAGTGAACCTAAACGAGTCTTCTGAGTTTATATGGAATGTTGATGATGGAAAATAGTGGAAAATCTGAAATAATACGTTTTCTTTGGGGACTATTTTGCCTCACAACTACCTCCATATTATGTATCCCTCCACCATGAATGGAGTTTAAGGCCAAAATCTTCTCTAAACTATCATAAAACAGTGTCTCAGTCATCAGGCAGTGAATTCATAACCATTTCATGTAGTAACTTTCTGTGAGGGAGCTGTTAGAGGTGGACGTCTGGTTCCTATCACCACCACTGTGAACAGTTCTGACTCGGTAAGTTTATCTAGAACAGAGCGTTTCACACCAAACCACTCTGAACCACTCTGATTACATCTTAACCATCTAATTATGTGGCAATAACACCAAGCTGGTACCATAGCTTGGTTTAAAATGTGACTTTAAATCCTCATACACTGTTTTTCTTTTAAGTAAAATAGTTTAATAAAGTTTAAAAGCACTGTTAAAAGTTCAAAACATACTGTTCACTCCCCAAATCCATACAGCAGCCACAAAAAACAATGTATTTACATAACTAGCAGCTTAGCCTTGGCCATTTACACTGAGTGTTCCAGCAGCCAATCAGAAAAGAGATCATTTACATATAGCAGCATTTAAGGCAGAGTACCACAAACAGCTTGTGAAATTGTAAGGGATGAAAAGAGGGTGGCATTTCATACCAGACCACTCCAAATGACACAAATCTCTATTAAATTATGGGGGAATTTTGAAAAATCTGTGAAATTCCCCTTTAAATAGGCAACCAATGGCACATCTATGTAATTACACAGAGTGTCCACTAGGTGGCTGAATATTACAGCGCAGCTGTCTTCAGAATGTAAATGCATTCTGGGTAATAAACATGTTTTGGTTTCTATTTAGTCATTTTTTATGCGTTTGAGAGGTAACAGGATCAGCTACACTTGTGTGCAAAAGTTTGTGCACCCCAGGTCAAAGTCCATGTCACTGCTGATTTAAAAATAATTCATATATTGTCTAGAGAAATGCACAGTTTGATGCATGATCACTGTTTGTTTGCTGAATTTAACATATTGGGGGGGGGTAATATGACACAAAATGTGGCCCGTGCAAAAGTTATGGCACTCCCTCTCACAGGTATCAGATGGAGCTCCATCACTCCAGAGACCACAGCCCAACGCTGGCGGGCTTTAGCCCACGCTTAGCATTGAGCATGGTGATTTTAGACCCCCCCAACACCCACCCAGGCCTGAGAAAACGTGTGAGTGATTTAAAAATATATATTCAAACTGCAAATGCAGATTTTGTTGTTTTTTTTTAGTCATTTTCAAATCCAAAAAACAAAAAAAGAAACAAAAACAGAAGCTGTTGTTGTCTTCAAGGCAGTCAGACCTCATAAAGTGACCAGAGAGTGGACGCTCTAATAGAGCACACGCTGACCGTTGCTGGGAGTCAGTGAGCTCAGACACGGCCAAACAAATAAGACACGCAGAGCTTTGGAGAAAAATGGCAAACACAAGGCATTCCCTCCATCGCCACGGCGACCAGAGCCGGACTGCTCTCACAAGGAGAGCAAGAATTCAGGACGTCACAATATGAACCCCAAAAATGGGTCAGTTTCAGAAGGTTTGATACCAGTTTAGCAGATTGACAGATTCAGATACAGATCCAGATCCAGCCCTGAGAGCAGAGAGAGGACGTGCAGAAGGCTGGGAGTGCTTTAGCACACCAGGTGGCGCTGTGCAGTCTTTCACTCTCCAGATAGAGAGGGAGAAGAAGTCTAGCTGAAAACAAACGAGCCAAGCCCAAAATAGCAAAACATTACAGGGGAACTCAACTACACTTTCAAAATTCCCACATAAATAAATGGCTTTGCTATGCTATATACCTAAAGGGGAACTCCACCATATTTTCAAAATTCGGTTAAGATGTGAACAGAAAATATGGTTAAGATGTGAACAGAGTCGTTCAGAGTGGTTCAGAGTGGTTTGGTGTGAAGCGCTGTGCTCTAGATAAACTTACCGAGTCAGAACTGTTCACAGTGGTGGTGACAGGAACCAGACGTCCACCTCTAAAAGCTCCCTCACAGAAAGTTACTACATGAAATGGTTATGAATTCACTGCCTGATGACTGAGACACTGTTTTATGACAGTTTTGAGAAGATTTTGGCCTTAAACTCCATTCATGGTGGAGGGATACATGCAGGGCGCTGTGAGGCAAAATAGTCCCCAAAGAAAACTTATTATTTCAGATTTTCCACTATTTTCCATCATCAACATTCCATATAAACTCAGAAGACTCGTGTAGGTTCACTGGTGGTTCTGGATAGTAAATAAAATGTCTATATTTGTGTTGTAGTCATGGCGACCCCTGGTTCCTATCACCACCACTGTAAAGACATCTGAACCATTTCACACCAAACCACTCTGAATCTCTCTGCTTACATCTCACACACTGAATTATGGGGGGGATTTTAGTAGAATTCCCCTTCCAGCTTCTAATGGTCCTAACAGTGAATCATTAGTCAGTCAGAAACAAATAGATACACAGAGAGTGGTTTATAGAAAGAAGAGTCAGTACTGATCCACTCAGCACTGACGGCTGAGAAACACTGCTGAGCTAGTTTGGGTTTAATGTGAGACCAAATATTCTCTAGAGCCCGTGTGTCGAGCACAAGGCCCGCGGGCCTGACTTCTCCTAAACTTATTTACATTTTCAATATTAGGCCACTTCACCATGAACTGCACTACAGTTCCCAGCATGCACTGCAACATATGACATAGCCTACTGTTTTATATAAAACAATGTGGTTTTATTTAAAATGATTTTTGAATAGTTCAAGTATTCCTTGAGATTTCTTAATGCGGCCCTTTCAGCGGTTGAGTTTGACACTCCTGCTCTACAGGATTTATATCTGGACCATCTGCAAACAACATTACACTTCAGGCTTGGTCTGTTTTTTCTTTTGCAAGGGAGTGAAGATCAACCAACTAACGACGTCTTGGTCAGACACTAGAGGGCGCTCCTGAGTGAGTCCAAAATGAACGGGCTCCTGTGGGACTTTTGTTGTTGTTATGATGTGAGAATCAGGAAGAGACCAGAGTCCCTTAAACAGCAGCAGCAGCACAGTCAGTACTTCAGCACCACTCAGTTCAGTACTTCACCATAATAAACAGCAGGACCGTCTCTCTCTCTCTCTATCTCTCTCTCTCTCTCTCTCTCCCTCTATCTCTCTTTCTCTCTCTCTCTCTCTCTCTCTGTCACTCTCTCTCTCTCTGTCTCTCGCTCTCTCTCTCTCTCTCTCTCTCTCTCTATCTCTCTCTCTCTCTCTCTGTCTCTCTCTCTGTCTCTCTCTCTCTCTCTCTCTCTGTCTCTCACTCTCTCCCTCTCTCTCTGGGTCTCTCGCTCTCTCCCTCTCTCTCTCTTTATCCTTTCTCTTCCTCTCCCTCTCTCTGTCTCTCTCTCGCTCTCTCTCTATATCTCTCTCTCCCTCTATCTCTCTCTCTCTCTCTCTCTCTATATATATATATATATATATATATATATATCCCTCTCTCACTCTCTATCTCTCACTCTCTATCTCTCTCTCTCTCTATCTCTCTCACTCTCTCTCTCACTCTCTATCTCTTTCTCTATCTGTCTCTCTCTCTCTCCCTCTCTCTCTCTCTCTCTCTCTCTCTATAAATAAACGAGTGCTGAAAGGTCTGCTGAGTGGAGAAAGATGTTCCAGAGAATTAAAGCAGAATGAAGTGGTGTTTAAATAAAAACCCTTAAATAAATAAATAAATAAACAGATCTGCACTCAGGAAGCTGCACATGTGACTGAAAGGTCATGTGATCTGACAGAACAGCCTCAGTCATGTGAGAGAGTGTTAGCAGACTTCGCTACATGCTAATGTGCACTCTTAAAAAAGGTTCTTCAAGGGTTCTTTAGTGAAGAAAATGGTTCTATATAGAACTATGAACACACAAAGACCCTCCATCAAAGTGAAGCGTTCTTGAAGGGAACGTGCTGCTGTAGACGATTCTACATTAGAACACTTTTTTAAAAAAGGGTTCTAATTGGCACCAGCAGGGTTTTTCTATTGTTACAGGCTAGACATCATAACAATAGAAGAACCCTTTTTTGTGCTATACAGAACCCTTTTCCAAAAGGTTCTATACAGAACCATATACAATACCTTCTCCATCAAACTGAAGAACCAATACATCATACATAGAACGCTTTAAGCATGCAAATGGTTCTATATAGAACTCATGGTTCTAAATAGAACTGTTCTCTTTACTAAAGAACCCTTGAAGAACCATTGTTTTTAAGAATGTACATGTAAGTGGATTAAAGTTGCCCTGCTAGAAAAAACAGCATGACCAGCAAAACCAGCTTATGTTGTACTTTGAACACTGGTATGACCGTCAACCAGTATGACCATGGCTGGGTGACCTCACCCTGGTTGGCTCCACTCTTAGCCATGTTCTCATGTCTTGCTGCTCCTTTAAGCAGCTCAGCGTAGGGGGTCTCCGTGGGGACGGTGACGATGATGATGATGGTGTGTTTACAGAACACACAGCATTAACATTAGAGACAGAAGAATTCCTGCCACCCACTGCAGCCCAATAATAAACCCATTGTGTGTTTCCCATAAGCAGCTCA